TATACATGCAATTTTGCTTATGACCACAAGGAGTTGTGACGTAATTACAGCTCATCTCAGAAATACATTTATTTGGGGAAAAGGCAAAGTCAAATTAGATGATGAATGTTTCTACTGGAACTAACAAAAGAGCAAAGCTTTTACAACAAAAATTAAGGTGCAAAATACTTTTTATTCTTGTTTTATCTCATCTGATACAGCTGTACATGAAGTGAGACCACAGCCTCTTAATAATGCAAATGACAAAACTGATTGTTCATCATTCCACATTGATGGCATTGACCATATCCACATGTTTTATTCAGTGAAAGATGAGGAGCTATTTTACTCTAAGTGTCACACAATAACCTTTTCATGATTTAAGATACACGATCACAATGTGTTCTTTCATGCGCTCTTTGTATGTCAACATGTCACCGTGATGCTCTCCAGCTGAACATTCTGCAGGCCACGGCAGCAAAAGGAGTTCTGGGACAGAAGTTTATATATGTTTTAACTGTTTTCTCATGCAAAGTGAGAACTGGCATGACAATGTTCAGATGTACACATGGCCTTATGTCTAGAGTGCAGACGCTTCTCTTTTTTTCTTTTAAATGGAGGAGGAATACCTCAGATTATTCAAAATATGGTAATTTGCGCCATGATGAACTTTTTTTCAAAATGAATTAATATTTTATTAATAAAAATATGTTAAAACCAAAACTGATAGCAATGTAATTATAATATTGGCCTTTCAAAATTAAACTCTTTTGACACAAAGTTGGAAAAAATTGAATAAAAAAGATAGATTAATAAAAGGACAAACTGAAAGAAGTGACAAAGTGTTTAATACTCTTTTGATTTATTACACAGTCACTCATTCTGATTATATAAATGGGCAGTTAATACGTTTCCTCTCAAACAATAAGACACCAGCTGTCTGTTGACCTTTCTGGAGAAAAAATACATTAGGATCATCTTTTCCCAATGAGTGGTATTAATGCTTACATACTATTTCAATGCATGTTCGTTACATAAAATCTAAAGTTACACAAATACAACTTTAATCTGTTTTTCTCACTTAAAAAAAAATGAACTAATGAAGTGGCTGCTTAATAATCTCAAAATCTGCTTCCCACAGGTGAATGTGCAGTTTCTCTGGAGTACAGGTACCAACAAAACACATTAAAGGAGGCTGAAACTATTTAATCTAATAACTTTTTTACAATAACTTCAATTTCAGCCCCTGTGAATCAGAGAAATTTAATCAATAGTTTAGACCCCAATTATAAATGTTATGTTTTCCACATAAAAGACTGCACCTTCGATGATTTCTTCTCAGTACTAAACAACAGCATTTGGTGATAAATGGTTGATTGTATTTAATTTGATGGCCATGTGTTAAAACAAAAATGATTTGAATAAGTCATGACCTTACTTTTTTCAACTGACCCTGCCATGTGACATTTCTGTGGCCTCATATAGGCTGCTCCCCCGCCACCTTCACTTTACCACAACCTCACACCACCCGCGGCTGCCTGCCAATCAAATGTGTCCAGGCTGTTCAACATGAAATGACAACGCTCCTGGGCATTCATCTTTTTTGCATGACTGCAACAGATGTTGTAACTCTTCAAGGACACTTGAGGAGTTACAGATTCTCCGAAGCTGACGTCTCTTACTATTGTATGGAACATGCTTTAGATAAGAGGTTACACCTAGCATATTTTTGTTTTCAGTACCTGCAAGGCCCACAGGTGTTAATGCTACTGGGTCTCATGATCTTTTAATCTGTCAGAGCATGTCTATGTGCAGAGGAGGGCATACTGACACCTACTGGCCAGACATATTATTCATGTTTGACACTGAATAGTGAAAAAGTCGATAGCAACAATATTAAAATAGAATGTATAATTTCAATAAAGAACTTTGTATTCATGAAACTAATATAAAAATGGCTACATTGAAATCACAAATAAAAAGGCAATGAAAACGTATGAAATCCACACATATCCTAGCTTCTGACAATAAAAAAGTATTGAGGACTTTCTGTGGTGCTTTCAGGTACGGTGATCAACAGTGGAGGATCAGGGAGAGTTCCATCTACCATTGTAATCAGCTTATTTCTGAGGGCGAGTAGACAGTCATTAGTCATTAAAGCAAATCAGACCTTATTAGTATTGAGTGATTTTGTGTTGTAAGTATATTTAGACTATGCTTTTAACCACCTGGTAATAAACATTATGCAAAGGTAATTACATGTTTTTTTTTTTTTATTATTTATGCACCATGAAGGAATTAAGGGATGCACATTTATCCTTGAACCATGTTTTTCCCAATGATCAGTTCCATCCATCCACTTTGCAAATTGAATCAGGATTCAAGTTACTGTGATGGGCAAAAGAGGGAACCAAAGACTCTGCTCAACTTGTAGTATTTTCCACTTCTCCCTGATGTTCAAGATCAGATAACATAGATTACCTGAAGCAAGTTTGGGAAGCTAACAGGGGCATCCTCTGAGATACTCAGAGAAAACATCCAAAATAGGTCAACCAGAGGCATTCTGTCCAAATGTTTGAACAGTTCAACAGGCTTTATTTGAAGCAAAGTGTAAGCAACTAGTATGCTGAACATTTTCTCCACTGGCGCAGCTGCCCTCTTCCACCCAGCAGCCCGACATAATGTCATCATCACAGCTCACGCCACACCAGTCACCCTGCCCACCTCACGTTCCATTTAGCATCACCTGTGCATAAAATGCTCATGACATGCGGATTTATTTGCGTGGGGCAGAAATTCAACTTAACATAAAGGAAAAAAATCCACTATTTTCCAGAGGAGCATCAATGTGTCATCCGGGAAGGCACTTCCATTTTTCTCCCTTTGGTTTGAAGATTTCTGTCATCGGTAACGGCCTGGGTGAAGTTTCCTGTTACCAAACATATCCATCAGCTTGATAAATTCAGTCTCAGGCTGCGTGAAAGGGTCTGCAAGGCAAATTGACCCCAACAGAGTTCCCAGAGTGAGAGGAACGTATTGACCTTAAGCCTTGATGGAAAAGCTCAGAATGGGTTTCAGTAGTAAAGCCCCTCCTGGATCTACACCTGTGGTCACTCCACCAGTATACTTTCAGGAGCAAAGCATCCGGGCAGAACCTTAAAACATTGCATCTGTGAGCTACCTGGTTTATCCGTTCATACAAATATCTTTGGAGAAAAGAAAATCTGACTTTTTTTCTTTCAATGATCCATCTGTTTAAATAAAGATTTAATGAATAAGAAGAATATCTTGAAGAGATCAATCTTGACATTTGCAGGATTTCCCCTCTCCACTTTGGAAGCTATTATCCTAGTATAAAAAAAGAAAGAATCTGCACCGTTGAAAATAGAGAAATTTATACAATCGAATTGACAAATAATGTAACTCCTTAAGTTGGTCAGACGGTTATTGTTGTCATTTTTACACTTCCTGAGCTTTAAACTGTTGTTTAAAGCTCAGGAAGTCTTCACATCTACGAAGACTTTGCATGGCAACAAGATTCATTATGGCCAAATGGAAATCTGCACTTAGACTCCAAGATGATTTTGCAGCAAACGGACAGCTGTTTTGAAAAGTGGTTCTATATTAAATGCATTAACTCCGTTTTGCAACAAGAAGCTAATTTTAGTTGTGCAGTTAGGGAACAATGGCGTCCCTGCTGACGTCAGCATAGATGCTATTGACCATACTGTGTTTACAGACGATGATTCTAACAGCTTTTGTCATTGAAAAGATGCCTTTTGGTTTGACTTGGTTCTGTTACCATCACCAACAGCCTCCATTTGTTTGATCCTATTCTCCAAACTAACCTCTGATAGTACTGTTGATTTCTGCTCTATCCAATTATATTTCCTGTAACATTTTATGTTAATAAATGACCATGAAACACACCCAGAACACAAAGCTTATAACTTTAAAAATCTTGGGCTTATTTATTGTGATGTTCTAGATTTCCTCCATATGGTATGAACACCAGTACTTAACCTAAGATGGTGCAACATTACGGTAAGTTTTCTATTGTGTCCTGCTGTTCTACTTATGTAGGAATAAAAAAAACTATTTTAGTGAGAGGGGAGAGTTAAGACTCTACAAATTGAGTCACAGAGCAAATGATTACTTGTTCTCATCGGTTCTCATCCGAAAAATCAACCAAATCCCTTTAAGACCAGAGAAGCAAAGGCTGAAAATATACCTGCAGTAAACATAACTTTTTGCAAGAGTTCTTCATATAAAAAATATGAAGAGCTCTTGCAAAAAGTTATTTTTGGCTGGGTAACAAAGGGTTAAAGGCAATGCATAAAATCGACTAAAATCAACTGAACTCAAAATATGTTTTTTCTGTCAACCACATTGGCCTATTCTTTGTGTACAATAGAAAGCCACAGAATGGCCAAATATGGAACAACATCCTAATGGAAACTAGAATCCATGTTCCAATTTTAAGCAGGGCCACACAAGGGAGAATAAGCTATGGTCCCACTTGTCACATCTGAAATGGTGCTCTAGTCTTTGACTCCACCTGCTGTTGATCCAAGATGCCTGTCATGTTGCATATGAGATGATCTTTAACGGTTCTATTTTGTAACTCAGCAAACCCGAAACTTTAATTTAAATTAATTATTGAAATTCCAAAATTAAGATAAAGTTAAAAAAAGATAATCAATAATAGACATGGAACTATTGGAAAGTTAGGCCAAATGGAAAGTCAACATAAGAAGTATGCAAACTGAGGACACCAAGTTGTAGGAAGACAAACAACGTGACAACAATGTGGATACAGTAACGAGCTCCTTCAAAACTAGAAACACTGGTCTAATCTGTCCAAATAAACCATGCTGTTATATAACCTAAATAATTCAAACAATCTTGTTTTTCTTTTACCACCTACTTCCTGCCTTGACACCTGGGTTCGGTGAATTATATAATTTCCGAGTGCTATCGAAAGCAGCACGCGTTTTGCTCAGCAGTCAGCTGACCGCATGCTGTCATGTGGCGTTCACAGACTGAGGAGACCCAGCGGAGAGCGCGTGAATAAAATCAACCGAGTTACCTTTAAAGAAAAATACAGTCTGGCGGTCGTTTCCAGCCTTATTTTACGTGTCCAGGATGGCTTGGACAAAATACCAGCTGTTCCTCGCTGGGCTTATGCTCACGACTGGCTCCATCAACACTTTGTCGGCCAAGTGAGTGTTTTTAATTATGCTTTTCTTCTGTGTCGTGTGTTCATTTCTATTGTTAAATGCAGTTCGCCTGTGTGTGGTAACATAAATAACAGCTTACAACAACTTTGGCTTTCAGGTTTAGTGCCTGTTTGCCTGTTTTTATGCCTCTGGCTATGTGTTATTACGTATTTATTGCAAAGAACAAAAAATATTAGCATTTGAGGTGACGTAGATGTAGCTACTGTATCGGCTAATGACAAATGTTTCGATGCAGTCCAAATAATTTAACGTTAGGAAAACACTGACAATGAGACTACACAAGCTTAAATTTAGCTCAGGAAATAAAATGAGAGACTCTCATTACAACGATGTGTGATTGTCTGGGGCTGTCTGCACTAAACAAACCTGCTCTAAAAAATGTTGGTTGAATAAGAGCCTGGTTCTTCCTCCTGTGCAGCTCATAGCTAAACGCATTTCGAACTGGCATCTCTTTTGTTCCTGATGTTAGCAGACTATCACTTAAAACGCGCACATATGAGACAGTGTCGATACCTAGGCTACACATTTGCATGTGAATATTTTCCTTAATAAATGACTTGACCCTAAAACCTGCTGCAGAAACTGTGAGCAGCCAACACTAACCCTTTGAGAAGTGGTGCTGCAGACAGTCAAAAGGCCTTTTCAGCATCTATATTCAACTGCAGAAAAAGGGAAGTCCACCAAATCGTTTGGCAGCAGCTAAATTAAAATATTTAAATATGAGTGGCTAATAAGGCTTGGTAAGTGCTGACAACTAATGTTAATGTGAAAGCAAACAGAGGTTGCTTTTTACAGGCATCTGGAAAATGTTGGCAGGAGTCTGTGCAATACATCTGTATTCCACTGAATGAAAAAATAACAAACTAAAACATGAAGTTGTGGTTACTAACATTACTGCCAACTAAAGGCACCATTTTTTATAAAATGATAATGTACAATTACTTGTGAAGTGACTCCCAATTTAATTTACTAAGTTGTAAGATGATAGTAACCCTGATATCTATAATCATCTAATAAACATTGTCAAAGTTTTCATAGGTTGTACAAGTGTAGAGATGAGACGGATCACGTCTCTGCATCGTTAAAATATTAGACAAGTTGAACCTTAGGTGAGAAACAACAGTGTTGCTTTTGCTTTCTTTTCCATGGCAGCACAAAAACATCAGCTTTGTCAGCACGGAAGAAGAAAAAAGCTTCAAACTCACACACCTGATTAGCATCCGCACAGAAAGATGAGGGGAGAAGAGTTAAGTCCTAGAAAGATGTGACAGATCTGAAGTTTATCAAGTGAAACAAGAGTTTGACCTCAAATTCAAAGAGAAAGACAAAAAGGGAAGCGGGACAGAAACATGAATAAAAAGGTTTAAAATCTGTTGCACTGTGCCCAGTTGTTTAGATTTATTTTTTTGTATAGGCTTAAAGCATTTTCTCCAAAAGGCCTGTATCTGGTGGAGTTTACTGGGTGTAATTCCATAAAGAGCAGCTGATCCACTCTTCCTGCCACAGTGCGGTGAAGTTTGTCACTTTAGTGAAATGAGACATTCAGCTTTTCAACTTCTCCAATAAGCTGTCATGTCAGCTCTCTCTTGCCTGAGTCACACCTCTCAGCCCTTTTTCGTGGGTTCTGTCATCTGAGCCAGACTCGGCTCTGCTCGAATCACAGTTGTGTGGCTCTAATGTGTCCGACAAAACGTTCCCTAACAGTCTCATTGCGGTCACCTGATACCCGCCCTGCCGCACATGAGATCCCTCACAGCTTGTCGAGTGATAGTTTTAGGGTAGGCTTACATGTCTTTCTGTGTTTCTTTGTGCGACGGTGTGATGTGTAAAGATACTCAAACCAAAGCCACTGACCACGATGGAAAGGGAAACGACAGCAGGTTTGGTTTTTTGGTCAGGAAGTGTCGTGTCATCGGATTTAAAAGACGAGACCCTCACATGTCAGTCATGCTTCCTCTGACCGTCAGGCCATAAAAGCTTTATGCAGACTTAAGCACTCATTAACCCCACACGTGAAACACAGTGTCGTCATCATCGTGTCTGACTGGACTGCTTTTATGATTTGATGTCACTATTTTAAACTAAACACCATCAATATTCGTGTTTTTTTTCTTTGATCTTTATTATTTGTTCATTTGAATTGTCCATAACAGAGTTGTAATAATGTGTTTTTTTCTGGCAGATGGGCTGACATGTTCTCAGCAAAGGGCTGCCACGATGTCCCTGAACATGGCTTTTCGCATCCATTTGTACAGGTACAGTAGTAAACCGAATGGCGCCTTCATCATGTTGCACTTTGGACTGAATATGAACCTGAAATATGTGCCTTTAAAGCACTGAAAACCGTCAAGTCCTCAGTCCTAACCCCCCAATTGTTGTTATATAAAGCATCAGGTTTAAAATCTGCCCTGCCCTGATGGGAATGGTAACGTGAGTCACATTACAAACTGTGTAACGTTGGCCTCTGCGTGCAGGCGGTGGGAATGTTTCTTGGCGAGTTCAGCTGTCTGGCCGTCTTCTACATCCTGGTTTGCCATGACAGACGCAGCCCAGAACCGAAAATGACAGCCAGCCAGAGCTTCAACCCTCTGCTCTTTTTCCCCCCCGCCATGTGTGACATGACAGCCACCTCCATCATGTATGTCGGTAAGTGGACTCAACCTCAGGTGCTCGGCAACATGTTGAGGTGAGAATTCAATTCATACGCGTGACAAAAATCTGCCTTTCCTCTTCCAGCTCTGAACATGACTAGTGCCTCCAGCTTCCAGATGCTTCGCGGGGCGGTCATCATCTTCACCGGCCTCCTCTCCGTGGCTTTCCTGGGGCGCCGTCTGCTGAGAAGCCAGTGGATCGGTATCGTCATCACGATCCTGGGCCTGGTGATCGTAGGCCTGGCTGACTTTGTCAGCGGGCACAGCGACGACACACACAAACTCAGCGACGTCATCACCGGTAAGATCTGTGGTCGAGGTCTGTTTACTGAGGTGCTTCAGGCGCCGCTAACTGGGACGCCGTTTTTCCGGCCTGCAGGTGACCTTCTGATCATCATGGCTCAGATCATCGTGTCAGTGCAGATGGTTCTGGAGGAGAAATTTGTCTACAAGCATGACGTTCATCCTCTTCGAGCTGTAGGAATCGAAGGTAAAACTCTCCTTTGTCCATAGCTCCATGCAGCATGTGTTCACACTCATACAAAATCAGGGTTTTATGTTTTTTTCATCTTCATCCCCTAAAATCACAAAGGGGTAAAAAGAAAATACCAGGAAGGAAAAAGCCAAAACAGCCAATCAACTGATCTCCTAAATCAATTATGTTAAGAGAAGTCAATCGGGAAGAGGTCAAAGGTCAAAAGGCAAAAGCATTACCTGAGAATCGTTACATCATTGTTCCCCAACATATAAGATAAAGCCACACTTTAGGCTGCAAAAACAGCCTCATTGGAAGTTTTTGAACATCCTAAAATATTTCCATACCTGCAAATGTCAGAGGGGGGTGGATGGAAAATCATGTATACGCGGGAAAGTTTTCCTGATTTGGGAAAGAGATCCCATATTATGATATTGGTAAGATGGGAGGTGAGATGGAAGTGTAGGGACAGACAGAAATATTAGTTTTTAGTTTTGGTAAGAGGGATGGAGCAGAAAAAAAAACGGAGGACTCACAGACCCAGAGTTAACTTTGTTAGTGTCATGGGACAGTGATCACAGCTTGTGTTGTGTCTGCTTTACTTGGCCCTGCTCTGAAAGCTGTCGACATGCAGGTTTAAAGTCATAAAACAGAACAACTATCGCGGTCTTTTCTTCTTCCGTTCTATTCAATTCAATTCAATTTTATTTATATAGCGCCACATCACAACAACAGTTGTCTCACAGCGCTTTCCAAACAGAGCAGGTCAGACCCTACTCTGAAGTTAACTACAGAAACCCAACAATTCCCACCCTGAGCAAGCACTAGGCGACACAGGCGAGGAAAAACTTCCTTTTAACAGGCAGAAACCTTGAGCAGAACCATGGCTCAGGGTGGGCGGCCATCTGCCTCGGCCGGTTGGGGGTGAGGGGAAAGAGAGAGCAAGAGAGAGAGAGAGGGCGAGAGAAGGACAGAGGGAGCAGAGAGAGGCAGCCAACACAGCAACACGTAGAATAGATAAAAAATGGCAATGATATTAATGCTAATGATGAGCAGGAACACTGGGGCAGCAGGAAACTCCCAACCACAGATCCAGACTCCACAGCTCTAGGAACACCTGCAGGAAGTGATAGGAGGAGACTCCCAACCACAGATCCAGACCCCACAGCTCCAGGGCCAGGAATATCTGCAGAAAGTGTTAGGAAGAGAGAGGAGAGAGAAGGGGGACGAGAAAGCACACGACTACGGGGAAGGGAGAGAGTCCAGTTAGTAACATTGTTAATGGAATGAGGTTGCACCGGGAGGGAGAGAGAGAAAAGAAAGGGGAGCTCGGTGCATCATGATGCATCCCCCGGCAGTCTAGGCCTATAGCAGCACAACCAGGGGTGGACTTACTCTAACTATAAGCTCTATCATAAAGGAAAGTCTTAAGCCTACTCTTAAATATAGAGACGGTGTCTGCTTCCCGGACCCAAACTGGAACCTGGTTCCACAAAAGAGGACTCTCATAGCTGAACGCTCTAGCGCCCATTCTAGTTTTCAAGACTGTAGGAACTGCCAGTAACCCTTCATTCTTGGAGCGCAGTTCTCTGGTAGGGCAGTAAGGTACTAAAAGCTCTTTAAGATAAGATGGGGCCTGACCATGAAGAGCTTTATACGTAAGGAGAAGGATTTTAAATTCTAAGTTTTATTTTATCTAATTAAGTTCTGTGTAGGTTAGTAATCAGCTGTGGCTGATTCCTGTAATAAAACTAATTAAACATATTTACACACTCCAGACGTTTATTTGTAAGTCTGGTATTATAATAACTTTACACTTTTTGAACATTCAGATGTTTCAAAAATTTATGTAAAAAAAAAAACATTCAAGCGGTTATCGTACATAGTCTCTTCTTTGAATCCTAAATATGTTAGTTGAACGAATCTGCCGTTAGAAACAAACGGGTGAATATGGTGCAATGTTTAGCAGCTAACGAGAGATAAGACACAAAAAAGTTAAAGGTCACATTCATCAAGAAGTTAGACCCCAAATGCATCGCAATGCTGTTCTGTAACAGCTTTGTGTGTAAATAATCAGCCATTTGCAGATATATCAGGTGATAAAAAGTCTGTATGTTTGCTCAAAGTGGTCAAAACAAAATTGTTTGGGCTGCTTTATCGTATCTGTCACAAGAAGGAGCGTTACAAAGAAGCTGTTTCACGACTGCTTGTTTGACTGCTCTGTTTCAGAAGAAGCCTCTTTTGTTGGTAGATATGGAAATGCTTAACACACCAAATAGATTTTTTTTAAAAAGCTACTTGAAACGTCTCTCTTGGAAACAGCTCGAGCTGTCTTTGTAAAATTAGATGATCACGGTTCCAAACTCCAGGCAGGACTTCAAAATCTATAATAAATCAAATATAAGAAAACATGTTATTCTGCAGAACAAAGTTAGCTTTCACACCTTTTTTTTTTGTCTTGGAACTAGTTTGGAACTAGATTGAGCTTGTTCAAGAGAACGATGTCATAAGTTAGGATAAATTGAGTCAGAATTTATTGTGTTTTGCGTTTTCAGGCCTCTTCGGTTTCGTGGTCCTGTCGCTGCTGCTCATCCCCATGTACTTCATCCACGTTGGCGGCTTCAGCGACAACCCTCGGCACGTTCTGGAGGACGCCATCGACGCCTTCTGCCAGATCGGGAACAAGCCCCTTATCGTGCTGGCTCTGCTGGGCAACACGGTCAGCATCGCCTTCTTCAACTTCGCCGGGATCAGCGTCACCAAAGAGATCAGCGCCACCACCCGGATGGTGCTGGACAGCCTGCGCACGCTGGTCATCTGGGCGGTCAGCCTGGCGCTGGGCTGGGAGAGCTTCCACGGCCTGCAGGTCCTGGGCTTCCTGGTGCTGCTGCTGGGCACGGGGCTTTACAACGGACTGCACCGCCCCCTGCTGGCCCGGATACCGGGCTGCGCCGTGTGCTTAGAGGAGGAGAGCAGCGGCGCCGAGAGAGAGAGACTGCTCAGAGAAGAGGTGCCGGCGGGCGAGGACACATAAAGCCCCGCTCACGAAATCAGTACAGACAGCGTCACGCACAAGGTGCACCTCACGGGAATGCTGTCGGTCACTTTTTACGCATTTTTCTGTTCACACCTCAGGTTTTAACCGACCTCAGTCGATGCTGTAAAATGTGCGGAAAATATTTTTAAACAAACAGTTTGATATTTTGGGGAAAAACGCACTTGTTGGCCTTCTCTCTGTGCCCGTCTCATATTCTGTTGAATACAAAGTTTGTTTGAATAAGTAAAAAAATTCCATTCACTTTCCCAGGAATTAGAAACCTAGATAAAAATGTTTCCAAATGGGACCTTTCGGTCTTTTCAGCACAAGGAATAAAAAAAGCACCAGGCACATATTTTGCCCCCATCCCAACACCCCCCATTGTACGTTGAACATTTCTGTTCTGCAAAGATCCTATTTCCACCCTTCTGTTTGTGGTCAACTCGTGTTAAATCTCTGCCATTGCTTTTACTCTAAAACACACAGCAGGATTTGGCAAAAAATGTAAACTTGCATGCTCTTGTCTGATTTGACCGTTCGAAAGCTCAAAGAAGCTGTAGCTCAAGGAAGAGGATGGTCAAAATGTGGGTGAATGATGTGAAATCACAAGTGCTGCTTGGCAGATCTTGTTATTTGACATGGAAGCTGAGCACTTTCCCTATAACAAACCTGATTCCTATTTGCTGGACACGCTGGAGAGTGTTTTCAGGTCTCTACTCTGCTGTTCTGAAAGTCAGACAAAATGCTTATTTCCCAAAATGTCACATTATACAGGTAAAGAAATGGAGAAAAAAAAGGGCATTCTGACAAAGCCACTCTATCATAATGTGGATTGTAAAGGGATTTTTAAATGTAATTGTTGTTTTATTTTAACAGGATATTTGCTTCCAATACAGACTTTTTTAAAATGGCAATGGGACTTTAATTGTTTCTTTGTGTGAACCAATTTATCGCAATTTACATTTTAATTACATTGTAATACTTCTGAACCATCATCACATCATGTTAGATACTAATTTCAATACTATTAAAGGCTGGATGTTTCTGTAAATGCTATATCTGGTGATCTGTATAGAGTGTACTTTCTTAATATGCTGATCTCATTGCCTTAAGGTCCATCGTGTGTAGTGTTTTCAGCTTGGAAATGTGCACTTGTTTCATTTCATTTAGAGAGCACCGCATTTTTTAAAATATTGAAATCTCCTAATATGAATAAAACTGTTTCCTGGTTTTGATTTAACTCAGAAAGGCTGCAGTGAAGCTGTTTTAAATATAGGGATTCGTTCCTGCTTCTTCCCTTCTTTTAGCCTTCTAAAGAAAAGGGAACTGTTTATAAATCATGGGTATTAACATTCATAATTCTGTTTACTTATGCGAAAGAAATGCATTGTATCGAATTCATGCAGTAAACCGAAAAATCATTCTCGCCTGTGAAGAATTATTTTTATATCATTTAAAGTGTTGCATGTAATTTTGTTAGTTGAAGATATTTAAGGAACTAAATCCTCCATTATTAAGAAAAAATGGTTTTAAATTGCTGGTCCAGTAAGGAGAAAAGCAAAGAGAACATTATATGATTGATTATCTTTAATACTTATACTTATTCTGTTAAACAGAGGTGTCACTCAGCAACCTTTGGTTAAGAGAAGCCATATATAAAAAAAACAGGAATAAAAGTAAAGATGAAAAAGTCTTAGTACAAGGGTCTAATGTCACCAGCAGCTGACACCTGCGCGTACTTCCTGAGTGGAACCAATAACATCCCCCCAACAGAGCCTTTTCACGTTTTAATGGAGGTCAAAGGTTAAAACCAGGAACCCCCAGAGGGCTGTACATGTGACCACATCCAGCTAATGGAGCATTAGGAAAGAACACGTGTTAACTGACCACACAGACGTGTTAATCAAACACTTTTGAGCCGTATTCTGTGCCTCAGACTCAAAATCAAAGTCAAGTGACATTCTCTCTGACTTTATCTTAATCCCATCTGTTTCAATATGTTCCGTTTACACCGGCAAAACAGGGATAGCGTGCGCTTGTGTTTGTTGTGCACTTTTTTAATGCAGTTTAGCCATGCAGCCCAATTCCCACCAGTCTGTTTAGAATATCTGTAACAATCCAGGTGTCCTCTTCTCAGACCATTTCATGTGTACGACAATGTGTTTGGTGGGCATCGATTACAGCTGAACGGAATCTAATAGAGAGGAAAAAACAAGTCTGAGAAATAATATGTTGAGGATATCAAGTTGCTCAAACTTAGTCTATTTTGGAAACTCTTCTGAATCAACCGTTCACTGGTGAAAAGCATCTGATTACCCTGTGATATTGACGTAAATGCAAAATGCAAAAGTCATGAATTAGCCCGATATTGGCCTAGTAAGAAGATTTAGATACTTACTGTCAGCAAAGAACGAGGGAAGCTTTGACTTTTAAAATAGGTATTGCAGATTTGCGCTATTTTTGTGTTTGCTGTCAAGTAAAAACTGCTTGATGGAATTGACATTTTTGTTGCTGATAGGTCAAATTTCCTTGGATTGCAATCCCTCGACTAATGCAGAGTTCAGATGACTAACAGATGAATTTGACTGACTTAGCAGAGGCTTTTTCGAGTAAGTTTCCACAGAGTTGTTGTTTTTTTCCTGTGATGTGTTTCCATGAGAATATCGATTACAACAGCAGAAGAAAAGATCAGAATAGGCGAATGGGTCAGATGTCAGATTATTATCCAAAGAAAAGGGCGTCGTCTTGTTTGAGCTTGGTTAAACTGCAGGTTTTGAGGGAGCTCAGTGTCTCACTATGGGTGATGAGGATATAATGATTTCTCTGAAGATTTTGTGATTTAGAAAACATCATAACTGCAGTAAGTACAGAAAAAGAGGATGGATGGGAATACTTCAGCCTGGAGCAGCAAATGCTAAATAGTTGTCCAAAACCATTTCACTGGACAGCAACACTGACTATCTCAGCAGAGGAGGATTTTGACCACATGATGGCAGCGTGCTTCCATAAAAAAAAATCTGTCTTCAGTACTTCTTTACCACCATAGATGGATAGATAGAAAAACGCTTCAGAAACATAGTTGCATCTAAAACAAAAAATCCGACTTCATAGCAGAAACAGTCAACCGGCCAACATTTCTATCTGCACCACAAGCAAATGTTCATCCAGTGGTTGTTTTATTTGCATAAAGCAGCACATAAATCTGTTTTTACTGCTCAGCAGAGTGAGCGACCCGTTTTCTGCTCGGCTCAGCAGCAGCTGGATCCTGATCTGCAGCATTTCCGTGATAAAAACAGAAATAAAAGGATAAAACAAGAGATGCTCCATTGATGGCTTGGTGAAAAAACTAAAACTTCCAGCTGTTTGCAGGACAAATTTGTCCTGGTGAGATTTTGTGTGTCTCCAACAGAAGCAAGCTCACGCGAAACCTCACAGAATATCGGATAATGCATCTCAGTTAGGATCTACAGCTATTTGGATTTATTCGTCATCATTTTCAATGCTGTTCCACACTTTTGTGTTACAAATAACATTTTTTAAAAATGTAACCACCTTTTTTTAAGACACTGCTGTCACCTATTTTAAAAACAAGATTAATAAGGGGTTGACTCTTGTCGCCTAATTAAAAATTTATATTTCAAACAAGCCTGACTGAAATTATTTAATATTTTGATGCATTTCTGCTGTGGTTTACATTCCTGTCTGTCACAGCAGCAGAAAGTCGAACGTTTTGTCATCATTGCCTTCGTCTCCATAAGTTTCCTGCAGTATTTCATTCAGAGCAGCTTACAGTATGTGATTTAATCGTCTGTACATTTGCACTCTGGGGCTGCCGAGGGCCCCAAAGCACCGCACGAGAGGCGACTTAAATCTGTCCTAACGTAAACAGTTGGCTTTGCTCAAAGGTTCCGAGTCAACATCATATATATAAAAGCTCCCATTAAAGCGGCCCCTTAGGTTGTTTACAGCGGAGGGCAGGCCGCAGTGAGTGTGATAAGTCCTTCTCTCCCATGTCTTGCTAATGACCACTTAATGTTTTCAACTGTGACAGCCCAGAGCAGAGAGTGAAAACCATGCTGCCACAAAAGGAAACACAGCAGGGCAGTGGGATTAAGACATTCTTCAATCATGTGGATTCATTTCAAGATGACCAGGTGTGAAGTAAAAGAACGCCAGAGTTTTTCATACATATATATAGATATAGATATAGATATAGATATAGATATAGATATAGATATAGATATGGATATAGATATAGATATAGATATAGATATAGATAGATAGATAGATAGATAGATAGATAGATAGATAGATAGATAGATAGATAGATAGATAGATAGATAGATAGATAGATATATAGATAGATAGATAGATAGATAGATAGATAGATAGATAGATAGATAGACACATTTTCTTTCAACTTTGCATCAGTTAACTGTTTAGATAAAAACCTGTTTATTTAAACTCAGTGTGGACAGCTGTCCACTCTGTTTTTAACTCAGTTTTCTAATTTCAACTTTTCATAAAAACTACTACAAAGTTGAAAACATATCATATTCAGGTGGTTTGTACCTCCACGTATCCAAAAAGATTTATCAAGATGCTTTCAAATGTGTTCCTTTCAAACCAGCACAAGGGGACAACCTTTTTCTACCTTGCAGTAATATCATGGTAAAAAAAAAGGATTGTTTTTTTGTCTTCTGATGTGAGAGCAGCTAAAATCCTTGGCAACATGAATTGACCGTATAGTTTGTTCACATTGTCATCTACATTGTTAAAATGAAAATAACTGCTTTAGAAAAGAGAGAATAGAGCATTTAGTCACTGGGGGGAGCTGCTTGGACGTTTTAGGGCTGTCTATGTTCAATAATAGTAAACATTATATCTATGGGCGTAATTCTGTTCCAACACCTAAACATAACAATAAGGTCCTCGGGTTTGTTTCCTAGTGACATATTGTGCAGATAAAACTCAGCCTGTGCAAAAAATTACAACTTATGATAATACATGTGTCATGTCAACTTTTTTGACAGGCCATTCACTCTTTTTTTACTTCTTTTGCTTTGGATTCTTAGTTGGGAAAACATGTATGTAGTAATATGAAACTAAAAAATCTGAATACTTGTCCCAGATCTGTGCGTGAATAAATTTAAGTTGAGCAATGATTATTACAAAAGGCGATTTTTTAAAGGCGATAAACCAGAACAGAACCAAACAGTGATGTTCAGACTTTAGCATCTGAAGCCATGCTGCATGTTCATCCCCACCTATGAGAGAGTTCAGTGTCTGAAATAGTGGATGTGCCCAGGGTCACATAAATGGGACAGTCTTGTTTTGAATTCACTTTAGACATGTCCCACTCTTCTCTCTCCCCTGTGGAAATCGTGGCACTGTGCCATACAGAAGGCTGTGTACAATGGCCCAGGTCCCATTAAATCTGCGAAAGTTCCTTCCTGAGGCAAACATTGCCAGAAATAGTAATCCTGGCCTGAGCTGGAGGGTCTTACGAGAGGGGAGCAATAATTCTCGATGTAATAATGGAAATCATTTCACTCTGCCCGGCAGCATGTGATCCGGCAGAGCTGCACAGTCCAGCCTGCTCATTCAGTTTTCCCTTTGCCTGATAAGACTTCCTGAAAAACACACAACCAGCAATCAGGCAGCAACAATAGACGCTTTAAACTTGAGGTGGTCGACAGTGCACATCGCACAGCTTTGTTTTCATCCACAGGGAGTATGTGACTCATAAATGCTTCAACATTGTATGTTCACGTTGTTTGTTTAGTCTCTAATTAGTTTCATTTTAGATTTTAAGCAGAGCTGGTGAGTCGATTAGGCACAGATTCATGTTTACAGCATCTCTCTCGCTTTTTTCTTTTTATTTAGCTATTAGGGAAATAGAAAGCATCTTTATATGTTAAATTGTTTTCACAATGATGTAGAGACCTCTATTAGCAATTGTTAATGGTTTGAAACTATGATTTACAGGTTGTGAGAGGTATGTTCAAATTAAACGTCTTAAGCAAAATAATTTTCTTGATTGATTTTCAACAATGTTCTATTTTATGTTTTAAATATCACATTTGCTTAACACAAAAAAAATACCAAAACAAAAAAATACCTTCAAACTTTTGAGGACACGCTGCAGAAAGGGCAAAGGACAATAGTGGAAAAGCAAAAAAGTGTAAAATCCTCCGATTACGAGGCCAGCAGCTCAGTGCATTCAGGAGAATACTTCGGGAAAAGACAGTCCCACTTTTCACCGCTGACTGCACGTATGAATTTCCAGTTGTTTAATACAGATTGAAGTCTCAAGAGCTTGCAGTCCTTTATCCAGAGACAGGGGGTTGCTGGCACTGGCAGTAATCCTACCTGCCATCATTTATGCAGCATCATGGAGGTCAGACTCTAAAAAGAGACATTAAAGAGAATAATATCATGCAGCAGAAATATTTCACTGTTCACTGGTGAATTGTGGATCGCATATATCACTTTTGGAACATTACATTTTCAGAGCTGCAGTTTTAAGCATTGATGCAATAACGAGAAGCCATGAAAGACTTGGATGCTTATTGCACTCTGAGCGGTTTAAAAAAAAAAAAAAAAAAACAACGTCAAGGGCCCGTGTGTTGCATGGCATTCCTTCGAGCAAATTTTTCCCCACGACCACTAATCCTCCTCTGACTGGCCGATCCAAGCAAACACCCACCAGGAATGACACACTTCCAAAGCCGAGGCGCGTCCAGACGCCCTGGACGCTGCTGCCCCTGGACACTGCTGCCCAGGGCTGGTTTCTGCAGGCCTGCTTTCTCAAAAGGCTCCTCCACGGGAAAAAAAAAAAAAAGCTCATCAGCACCTGAAATAACTCGCACATCCTCTTCCCCGGATTGTTTTGACTGTATTATGGAGGGCAAACGTTAAATGTCATTTTTTCTAATTTTAACCCGGAAAAGTGTCACTCGAAAACACCATGATAGCAGGCAGCCAGGGTCATCGGGGCTTCCGCCCGAATGAATCAAGACTAAATGGACGCGGGGCTTCAGAAGCCATTGTTCCAACACATGCAAGAGAAAACATGCGATCGGATTTTGAGGAAGGAGGAGGTTGAACCAAACGGCAAAGGCACGACAGCACCGATTTGAGCTGGAGACGATTTAATGTGATGGTTTAAAATATGTAAAAACATATAGTTTTCGTTCAGATGCGCCACAAATGGCATTAAGAGAAAAGCAGGTTGTCCCAAAGACTATTTAAATGCTTTACCGTAAAGTGAAATTGGCCAGGACCCAACGGTGTGAATCTTAAGGGGCCTTGCGGATGAAGTATCGCCTCTGAAGTTAATTGTGTTTTCGCTTCGGAGGGGAATAGATTTCCTCTGTTTATTATGAGCATGGGGACGGATTTGCGTCACCGTGCAACTTGCAGGTTGAGATAAAGTTGCACAAATATTGAACAAGGGAAGTTCTAACAGTCATTATAAAGTTTCCCCCCCTCTGCTCCGGAAGAAATAAGGATTTCTGCTGTATCCTAAAATACTAAAACACATTCTATTTTGGGGGGCAAATCTAGCCGGCGTATCCGCTCATTTAACACGAATCACGGCCCATCAAAAACAGGATGAGACGGAGCTAATAGAGACTCTCCTGCTTATACGATTCTGCGGTTTATTATCGAGTATGTAATATTAGATACCCCACCTTACGTCCTGACCCATATATTTCAGATTTACCTTTTTTTGTAAAAAAAAAAAAAAAAAACTCAAAGAGTATATGGAACGCTCCCGAAAGAAGAGTGGACATTAACACGAGTCCTTCCTGTGTAATGAGGGCTCTAGTGCGTGATATGAGCGAGGAGCAAGTGATCAATCCATCATCTCTGGACCAAAATTGCTCTGGTGTGGCCCTTAGTGCGCGAGGCGGACTAAATTACACACCATCCTCATTTGCAAAGGTGTGACGCGAGCAAACGTGGCGCACCCATTGGTGGAGGGATCGACCAATCAGTGTCAGCGGAGAAACTTCAGAGTGGAGCAACAGGGTTAGGGTTTCGGAGTTGGGAGAGCGATTTTGGCATTTTACACAAAGAGGACAAGCATCTGTTCCTCTCAAAACGCGACCCCGAGCTTTTCCTACATGACTGCCCTTTTACACCCTCTTCCGTAAAAAAAAAAAAAAAAAAAAAAGACAAGAAGGCTTTCTAAATTTCGGGATGTACACGGCCGGGCTCAACCCGTTTTACGCATCCAACTTCAGCCTCTGGTCCGCGTACTGCGCCGGGGGCTTCGCTGTGGATACCATGAAGAAACCGTCGTTTTGCATCGCAGATATTTTGCAGGCCGGGGATGCGGAGAACATCCCGGGCTCGTCTGCCCTCATGGTGCACATGGGACACCACCACCACCACCACCGCGCCCAGCAGGCGCACTCCGGCGGATCCCCGCTGCGCCCCTCTCCCGTCGAGCCCTCCGTGTTCGCCAGAGTCAGTCCCGCGTCCCCCTACCACAGACACGGACTACAGCTCACCTCGGTATCCAGGACGGCTTTCAACTCCCAACAAGCCCCGCCGCCCTCCAGCAAAGACCTCAAATTTGGAATCGATCGGATTTTATCCACGGACTTTGATCCAAAGTGCAAAGAAAAGTCGTCGCTTAGAGGTGAGCAGAGACACTTCCCTCCACGGAGGCTTCCTGTTATACCACTTGTGAATTACGCAGAAACAGGGATTGATTTTATGCCTTAGATTATTTTGTTTGTTTTTTTCATCTGCCACAATAAAACAGAGTTCAGAAACTGAAAGTAGCAAAACCAGAAGTAATAACATGTGCAGCCAGTTACCTGCTCCAGTTTACAACACTGACAGGCTTGTTCACAGAGTAGTTAGAGCGCAAATGGCCTAATAATAAGGAGCCCTGTGGGGAAATCCTCTCCTCTCTTGCCCCCTAACTAGAGGTCAGAGGTCAGGATCGGCTACAAACAGCTGGAGGCCTGTACAGAAGGACTTCACCAGAGGGACAAATTAGGCTCTAAATCCAAAGCAGTTTCCCTAAAAACCTGAGACCACTCTTGCATCTTTTCTGTTATATACTGCGTTAACTCTTTTGCTGACTGAAGCCCCTAATCTCTCGCTCTGTAACAGATCTCACGTCCATTGTTAGCTCGAACCGTCAGTCAGGCCTCCACGTCTCTGTTCAGCCTCCGGCCACGCAGTACTTCTCCTCCATAGACCACGGGATGAGCGACGCGTCCTCCATGATGAGTTCGCTAGGCAGCAGCAGCAGACATTCAGGCCAGCATCAGTTTCAGGACTCCTTCCCAGGTAGACGCCACCCCATAGAGTAGCAGACGGGGAGAATGTCCTGTCATGTCAGCTTTCAGGTTGAAGACCCTCAGATTTTTTATTTATTTATTTTTGCTTTAACCTCCTGTCCTCTTTGTGTCTCTTTAGGTCCGTACGCCGTCCTCACAAAAGACACGATGCCCCAGACGTACAAGAGGAAAAGGTCGTGGTCCAGGGCCGTGTTCTCAAACCTCCAGAGAAAAGGACTTGAGAAGAGATTCGAAATACAGAAGTATGTCACGAAGCCAGACAGAAAGCAGCTGGCTGCCATGCTGGGCCTCACAGATGCTCAGGTAAGAGCCACTGGTGACCCGGATGGATTTGAACTCCAGCTCAAAGCGTGCGGGCCTGTTGGACACAGGAAAGGCTCTAACAAAGCAGATAATGTAGATCGTCCCGCACAGTTAACAGCTGAAATCCAGTCGTTTTATTGTCTGTGTCGGTGGGGTGTTCAGGCGGACTGAGCTCGTCTTTACTTTGGTTTGAACATGCTAATCGTTTGCTTTAAACGATTAGATTACGCAGATGGAGATGTGATGTTTCAAGTGGTGGTTTCAGGGCAAAAGGCTGATCTTAAGAAAAAGGCCTTGGACTATGCATTTTAAATAGTCAAGCCATGAGGAGTCGCATCCCCAGAAGATAAAGTTGACCAAACAATTCAAAACGACCATTGCTGATTTTTCTGGATTCTTTTATCTTTAAAACTGTGTTATTTTCATTTTAAAAATTCATTTAAAACAAACCCCTCAGATTTTCTTTGAGTGAATGGACTGAATTTATGTCAGCGTTTAATGCTGTTTCCACTAAACGCGTCTCTCAATGAATGGAACCAGACCAGCCAAATACCAACCACATGCCTCTTTTTCATTAGTCTGCAAAAATCTCTGAAGGCGTTGCCTTTGATCAGGAGAATGTCATTTCAAATTTGTGCTCATAGATAATTAATTTCTATTTACTTGAGCTAAAGATTTTCAGTGTTTTGCATTCTGCCTGCTTACTTCCAATATAGATTAGTGGGTAGAAGCGACTCCTACAATAGTAAGTGTACGTCAGAACAGGCTTTTCTAGGCTGTGGTTTAGGCCTCCCTTACACAGCATCATCACAGTCGCCATATGATAATGTAACCCCATTGGCTGAGAGGTGCAGCACTGTGCTAACTCTCACGGTGTGGAGCAGAATCTCACAAACTTGTTTTTATTTACATTTCATAGATCTTTCCTTCTTTTGTCCACACAGGTCCAACAAGAGAAAACTGAGTCCTATTAAAGCTTGTTCGTTACATTTATTTGTTGCATTCTTGCTCATGATGTGTTACTGTTGTGAAGCGGGTTTCCTGGGTCAAACAAATGATAGTGGACGTTTTGCAGGGCAGACTTAGAAATGGGCTCTTACAGAAATGGCTCCAGCTGGTGCTCTCTCTGATGTGAAGACTGGATTGAAAGCCCAGACTAACATGGCTGCTGCTGCTCTGCGCGTTTATTTACGCAGGAGGCACCTTTTTTTTTATATGGCATCGCTCTGGGTCTGTGCTTCCAGGTGAAAGTGTGGTTCCAGAACAGGCGAATGAAGTGGAGACACTCGAAAGAGGCCCAGGCCCAAAAGGACAAGGAGAAGGACGAGAAGGCCGAGAAAAGCCCCTCGGAGGCCGACGGGGAGCACAAAGAGCCGACGGAGTCCGAGGGCGAGAGCGAGGCAAGGAGCGAGTGCGACTCCGACGAGGCCGAGGAGGAGGAGGAGAGCGCGGACGGACATTTGGACATTCCCGAGCACAACAAGACCAGCGTTATCACGAGCGGGAGCGCGCAGGCGGGCGGGAGCGCGCAGGCGGCCACGGCCACGGACGCGCCGGCCACGGACACTGCGGCCCCCCAGGGGTCAATATGAGGCCGGCCAGGGGACCGGGCCCTCTCCGTTTTTTTTGTTTTTTTTGTACAGAAGAACAGCGATGCTTTAAAGACACGTCTGGAGTGTAGCAACCGCAACCACAAACAGGTCAGTTTGATTCTGGAGCAAAAAAAATACCCATTTTATTAGTTAATCTTCGCACATTGTTTTAGTCCGGAGAGACACATGGGAACATAAGTGGCCAGAATTAAGGTGAGCATTTTGTAAGATGGTGTATTTTTTCTGTATATCTATTTTTTTTTTGTCTTACAAGGCTGTAATCATAAATCCACGGATTATTTTTTTATTTAAAATAAATACTCCCTGCCCCCTTCAGTGTCTCTTTACATTCGATTTCTTCTGATGTTTATTTTTCCTAACAGAGGAAAATATTACGCGGTCTTGTTTTTTTGTTTTTTTTTGTTCATGTTATGAACCACTCGTTTCACCTTGTGAATGAAATCTCAGAAGATCAATTGCTCATGTACCTATTTGTTTTGTTTTCTGATATATAGTTGTGCTATTTTGTTGATAATATTTGCACTGAAAATATTGTAAATAAAAGGTTGATACTTTGGAAATCGTCCTTCACCATCATTATCATCATTATTCTTATAACAAGCATGATTATTATTATTATAACTAAACAATTGGGCAATTGTAAATATTTGCTTTAAGATGACACAAAATAGTAACAAAATTAATTACAAGTTACGCTTTATTTAAGTAAATATACAATCATATTAAAACGCAGTTTAATTATGTAGCTGGAGAAAAATTGTAGTTAAATGCTTTTATAAATAATAGTTGTGTGTGGACTAGATTACAAGATTCACACTTTTCTAATATGGAAAAAAAGGAAAACTTAATTATTTAGGCTCAAGAATGTTTAGGTGAACACAGAGCCCCTGTTGTGAACCTAAATGAGCTTCTATTCAGTGTGCTTGGACTCAAGATGCACCCAAGAACTCTTACTTTACAGTCTGTGTACATTAACTGGCTCCAGATAGCAACGGCGACCCGGATGAGTGTATTTTATGCTTCGAGAGGCAGATCCAATCAACAGATTCTCCGTTTATAGTTCTGCTCATTCAGCCTTCATATTCCACATAAAGGCATGCCATGCCAACAAGAAAATGACAACAGAAAAAGTGTTCAATTGTTATTTCTCGTTCTGCTTCATTATAATGATCTGCAGAAACGGCTTCGAAATTAATGGAACTTGGATTATTGCAGAATAATAAAAATAATAAACAGGTAAAACCCATTTAAATGCTTTAATGATGCCATTGCGTGCGCACTGCGTCCTTTTTATACATCTATTAAATCAACCTGCGCCTGTGGGGTTGAATAAGGTTGATAAGATACATATCCATCTTCAGTTAAAACTCATCAAGCATTTTATTAACCAAATACTGGCATTTAAAACCAACCGTCCGCTCAGCGTCTCTTTGAGGAGAGTATCGTGTGATTTTTGTGCGCATTGGAACTCGCTCCTCCTGCTTCCAGCAGACAGCTGCGGCTCAGCGGATTGTTGGAGATGACAGGTCGAGGGACGGTGTTGTTTATTCGTGTGAATATTAATATATTTCAGAGGTCCAGAGCCCTGCAGAGGATATTCAAAATAATTATTGTTGTATATATCTGTGACAACCTGCCTCGGCCATTAAGAGGTTTGTTGATGGAAAATGAAGCCTGCGGGAGTTTTATGGGTAAACAAGATAGCTGTGGGGTTTATATAAAATAAATAACGGTTGTGCTGTTTTTAAAAACACCAGCGGTGGAAGAAGTATCCATCACCAAAGCAATAGTTCGCAGGAAGAACACATCAGTGGCCAGGCTGCACTCTTCACTGAATAATCATTATAGACCAAATGAAAGTCCGGTTTTATAAGGCTCTGACCAGGGTTTTTAGGAGTTTGTATTTTTTTAAATCTTTATTTATGTCATTATTTTCCATTGCAGCCACACGTGATCCACTCGTTTTAGGCCCAAAGATCACGCGCTGCAGAAATATGTCCTGGGAACGTTTTTAACCTCAATTTTCACCCAACAACATTCACTTAATGTCTTTTGTCATTCTAAATGTATAAAATGTTATAGTATATCGCTGTAACTACTGGCCACATGACACTGATACGTTTTATATTTTGGGGAGTACTTAAACATAGTGTTCATATTCTTTATATTTAAAATATATCAAATAGTATTTGGTATATTTTGTTTTTAAGAGTTTTTCACTTTTTAAACTTTTGTTACAATTATTTTATTTGATATGATTTGTATGTTTTTCAAACTGAAGTAATTTGATATTATTTAGGAAGAGTCTTTATCTTGAGTTAAAGAATGACATTTTTTCTGTATTCTTTTGTTTTGACAATAAAATAAGATGAAGAAAACATTCCCCCAGATACACAAAAGTACTTAAAACTGAAAAAAACAAATTCCACTGTACTTCAATAAATGCATTTTTTTTTATTCAAAACCACCATGCAGAGGAAAAATTATAGAAACTAATATACAGACATGAAATATGTCCCTTGCATTATATTTCTTTCAGTAAAGTGAAAATCCTTTCTCATCAAGCTTTTTGTTCCATTGTTAGCATCAACATCATAGTGAATGACCCAGAAACTCAGACCACCACAAACGCTATCTACTACAGGGTCCACTTTCCTCTCCTCCGGAAAGAGGACTGACCTCAGGAGAGCTGCAGTTTTTCCGTTTTAGCTTAGCATCTTGAATTTCACTTTTCATTTCCCCCCTCCTCCTGGGTGTACGGCCGACTATACCTGCTACTTTCTTTGCCTTTCCCATACAGTTGATATTGTACCCCCAATCTCACACAGCACAACTTCTCATAAACCAACTCAGGGCTGTTATGAAGTAGATGGCACTCATCTTAATCCTCACTCTTAATTCAAGCTGGATGAGAAGCTGTCAGAGTTACGATAGCCAGTTTCCACGGAAGGCAGTAAAAGCCCTGCACTTTATCAACCCAATATTAACCATTAAACACTCGTGTATTAAATGTCTTGGAGGGTTGAGGCTTAAATTATGGCTGAGGAGGCATGAATTACTTTTGTATTGTCAAATGTACAATAACAATAACAATCCGAAGGCCTAACATAATACCGAGAGGTCTTGATTTGTGAACTGTCCTCTGAACTTTTATGAGCAGGACAGGAGAAAGTCCACCTGGCCTGTATTTAATGTAAGCCTTTCTAGCTCTATTAAAAGCTGTCCTATATGTCCCTCTTGGCAAAGCAGGACACGGCAAACCATTAAACAAATTTGTCTTGTGGGGTTGTGCCAATGTTCATCATTTTGAAAAAGTAACTGCGATAATCAAACAGCCTGAGGATTGAGTTTCTGTCGGCGGTGGCTGAGGGATTAGCCTGACTAAAAGCCACGACGTCTCAAGTGCTTTGAGGCATTATCTGTGAAGCTGTTTAATAGGCTGATGGAGAATTTGTTGGATTTGCGATGATGCATCAGTGGAGGCCTCAGAGGCCATGGGCAGGATGGAGGAGAGGAGAGAGAAAAAGGAAAAGACGAATTCCACCATAACGAACAAACGTTTGAGAAACTGCATCTGATGAAATGAGGGAGCAGGATGAATGTCAAGATGGTATTTCTGTTTCTTCCTCATTTAGGAGATTATTTTGATAATGTTTGTAATTGTCATGATGATGAGGAGGAGCACAATTATCTAAACTTCACAGGGTTACGAGAGAAGTCACAGATCAGTCGTCAAAATACTCTTAAAAAAAGGTCTTCTGTTTTACAAAAACACCATTCAATTTCTTAAAAGGGTTGGATCTGTGAGATACATGCATCAGCATCATTAATGTTATTGATATCTTTTGTCAAAACTAAATTACAGTGGTGGGTCATAAAATGAAATACTGTATTTTCTCAAAAAACCATAGTATTGCTTTTAAACTCTCATGGAAGGTCTTTGGCAGTCTCTGCCTTTCTACTTTACATCTTAACATGCAAAAACGAGGAGCACTGGTCTCTTATCCCACACATGGACTTGAGCTTTCTAGTGTGTGTATGAAGGAGGAAGTATTGCTCAATACTCACAGAGACAGCATCAATAAAGCTGGTGAGCGGGCTTCAGTTGCTGCTAGTGAAAGTAACACTAATGCGGTCACATATGAGCCGTCTGATTATAACAGTGTGTTGAAAAATTATGAGTTAAAAATTGGTTAGACTGTCAAAACAGCTGTTACAATAATGGGAAAGTGTGGTTACACTTGGTTCATGTGACTAGTTAACGTTTGCTTCATATCCAAATAATTTTATAGCTGAAAATTGTTTTATAATCAAGTAGCTGAAGAACTTGTGCACTAATTTGATGTCAATCTACTCTCACAAGACATAAACAGCGAGATGAGAGTCACTTGAGGCATTTTCCAACGTCACATGAGCTAAAACAACATCCTCCTAAAGTATGTTAGTGCTAACCATTATCTTTTTTAACTTCAACAAAAGTGACAAAATTGCTTTTGAAAAAGTATTGTAGTGTGGTTTTCTGTATCTCTGTCTTAACTTCATAGCATGGCAATGATATATGTGATTTTGTTCTTATGGATGCATCAATAAAACAGTTTGAACTTTAGCATGAAACCAAATTTACCATCAGCAGTAGTGACCACAGGCCTTTCCAAATCAGCCACCGCTCAAAACTCTGGAAACGCCACTTCAAGCAGTTTCATGACACTTACTTGCTCCACCGGGAAAGTCCACATAAATCAACATCTATCAGTTTTCTTCTCCAGCTGTATCCCATTTGGGGTCATTATGCATTGGGTAAGAAGTGTGTTACACTTTCAAGAGGTCACCAGTCTGTTGCAGGGATAACAGAAACAAACAAGACAAACACCCAAATCCCATGGATAATTTAGAATAAACCCAGTGATTTCCAAACTGGAGGCATGACCTATGTGTGTGTGTGTGTGTGTGTGTGTGTGTGTGTGTGTGTGTGTGTGTCCAATCAAATTAGTCATTTTCCAGTAAAATAAACTGCCCTGAGCAAAACACTAGTGTTTGAATGCACATTCATGTACTGTCAAAGGATATAATTGAATCCTGCAAATTGTTGAGGGAATTGCCGTTGGTTTTATTGCAAACTATTCATGGCAGACCAGTTAATCAAAATGATAGGCCATTCATTGAAAGAAGCCTGTCTTATATTCATGGTATCTTGTAAAAAAGTAAAAATTCTGTCGCAAAGAAATATAGGATTTTAAAAAATGGAGAAAATTGCAACATTACGATTAACGTTTCTGCAATCAAAGGGACGGCTTCCTGCCTAAGTGATTTCACAACTCTGTAGAGTTCACTCATAAAGTTGCAGTTGCTTTTAAATACATTTCAGACCAATAAACACTGCACGGGTTCGTAAACAACTAAACTTGGTGATTTTAGTCACTACTTGGAGCTTCAGGAAGGTTGCAACGTTTTCTTATGACAAAACCATTTGCATACCATTGAAATAATCCAACATGCACATTTTTCGGATAGCTGGACGTAGCCAAATATTCCTGAGAGAATCCAAAT